GGTTCACAACACTCTCAGTGTACAGGTTGCCAACATGGCTTGCAACAGCTGTCCGAGGGTGATTTTCATCAAAAAAGGTTTGCACTTCAAGCCACTTTGCACAAATTTCCTTAATCTTTGAAGTAGGCAACTTCTTCAATTTCTCTCTTCCCTCCTCCGAAGTAGTTTCCTCAGGTGTTGCCTCTTGCTGTTGAAGTTGATCTAGCAGCTCATCAGTGGTTAGTTCTTCATTGTCCTCCTCCACCAACTCTTCCACATCCTCCCCACTAACCTCCAACCCCAAGGACTTCTCCAATGCCACAGTTGATTCCTCAACTGGCATACGCCTCTCAGGGTTAGCCTCAAATTCTTCAAAATCCCTTTTGTCTACACATTCTGGCCACAGTTTCTTCCAAGCAGAGTTCAAGGTTCTCTTAGTCACTCCCTCCCAAGCCTTACCTATAAGGTTTACACAATTGAGGATATTAAAGTGATCTCTCCAAAACTCTCTTAGAGTCAATTGAGTTTCTGAGGTCACTACAAAGCACCTTTCAAACAGAGCTTTTGTGTACAGTTTTTTGAAGTTTGAAATGACCTGCTGGTCCATGGGCTGCAGGAGAGTGGTATTAAGAGGCAAAAAACTTGACCTTAATGAAGCTCATGTCCCCACAAAGTCGCTCTGCCAAGTCTGTAGGATGACCAGTGGCATTGTCTAACACCAGGAGGCACTTAAGGTCTAATTTATTTTCAATTAGGTAATTTTTCACAGTGGGGGCAAATGCTTGGTGTAACCAGTCATAGAAAAAGTCCCTAGTGACCCATGCCTTACTGTTTGCCCTCCACAGCACACACAAATTAGCCTTGAGGATATTCTTTTGCCTGAATGCTCTGGGAGTTTCAGAGTGATTCACTAGTAAAGGCTTCACTTTGCAATCACCACTAGCATTGGCACACATTAACAGAGTAAGCCTGTCTTTCATAGGCTTATGTCCTGGGAGTGCCTTTTCCTCCTGAGTAATGTAGGTCCTGCTTGGCATTTTCTTCCAAAACAGGCCTGTTTTGTCACAATTAAACACTTGTTCAGGTTTCAGTCCTTCACTGTATGTACTCCTTGAATTCATGCACATATTTTTCAGCTGCTTTGTGGTCTGAACTGGCAGCCTCACCATGCCTTATCACACTATGTATGCCACTACGCTTCTTAAATCTCTCAAACCAACCTTTGCTGGCCTTAAATTCACTCACATCATCACTAGTTGCAGGCATTTTTCTAATTAAATCCTGATGCAACTTCCTAGCCTTTTCACTTATGATCGCTTGAGAGATGCTGTCTCCTGCTATCTGTTTTTCATTTATCCACACCAATAACAGTCTCTCAACATCTTCTATCACTTGTGATCTCTGTTTCGAAAACAAAGTTGCACCTTTGGCAAGAACAGCTTCCTTGATTGCCGTTTTCTTGGACACAATAGTAGCGATGGTTGATTGGGGTTTACTATACAACCTGGCCAGCTCGGAGATACGTACTCCACTTTCATACTTAGCATTGATCTCTTTCTTCATCTCCATAGTAATTCTCACCCTTATTCCTGTAGGGTTGGCACTAGAAGCTTTCTTGGGGCCCATGGTCACTTATTTTGCAGGTGAAATCACTAAAAATGTTGTAATAATACGAAATGTTCCGATTGTATGCTTGGATGTTACCGCGGAGGCTGGCTTGTAAACAATGCCACCGGTGGAACATGTGAAGCTGGCTCAGGCCGCACATAGATGCGTCTCGGACGAATCGCGTTGAACAAGTTTTTTAGCGCTATGTGAGGCAAAATTTTAGCGATAAAATGTAACGCTAGGCGGATTTAACGTTTTGTGATGCCAACATTAGGCGGGGGCCCACTGTATTCCAGATATTTTGGGATTTGTGTTGGAGTAAAGTGCAAGATATTTTGCAAATGTCAAAAACTAGGCAACTTTATTTTTTTGTAGAATAACTAAAGGTAATTACACGATTACCTCCAGTGAGAACATCGTAGTAGCATTGTTTTACAAGTACCAAGTCCCAAAACCACCTTTCGTTATGCTATTTAACCTTTTGACTGTTTTGGTTGTATATGTACGTTTTACGAGCCAGTGTTTCAGACGTATATATACCCAATAATTCTAGCGGCTTCAAATCAAATAGGAGAAGGCTGGTAGGCCCACATGTGAGAGAATGGGTCTGTGTCGTTAGTGTGCACCACATAAAAAAAATCCTGCAGCACGCAGTGCATAATGAGAAAAAACAACTGACCGTCCTTTAGGATTAAAACACCGACTTTGAGGTGTATTTTTGTATAGTATTTATCATTGTATTCCCGTTTTCATGGTCTCACGTGATAAAATGGAAAACATATTGCAAAAATATAGATGATTTTGACTAGTTTCACGATGAGAACAACCTTGAGAATGAGCTCAAAGTAGCGGAAATGTTTGATTTTTACCACTGTCCAAGAGTAAGCAAATCACACCACACGTCTAATATTCTTTCACTAGTGCACTGATGTTATTTATACCATTTTTGCAATAATGCAATAGTCTGCATAACAGTAAATCTTGTATTTTTTGTATGAATAAGAAATAAATATAGAAAGCAATAGTAATATAAGAGGGGCCTAGAGACGTGACTAATGAACAGAGGATATGTTATTTTAGTGCCAAGAATGTCTACATTGTTTATTCTGGACTCTGTTTTGAAATTGGCATCTTACTTAATTTGCGTGAAATTGGCCATATTGTCAATTTCTGACCACTTTATTGGGTAGTTCAGATCGGTAAATGGGTGGTTTCTTGTGCTCAATTGATAGAAAAAATAGAGTTCTAAAGAAATAACTGAGTTTGGTCAACTGGAACAATGGAATTGGCCAAAAACAGGGCTCAAAGTCGGCAAAATCGCCGCTCCGTATATGTCGCTGAGACCGCTAACTTTGCGGGAGCGTAATTCCGCGAGTTTTTGACCAAATTTTGTAATTTTGGTGTCATTACCATCGGGAAAAGATTCCCTATCATTTCATAAGATTTTTTTTTTTTTTTTTTTTTTCAAAAAAATTTGCGACAGAGAATGACAGTTTCAGAAAGGGGCTTGTGACAGTCAAAGGGTTAAGCTGGGGTTCTTGCCAAATGTCATTTTCAGTAATTTTTTTTTTTTTTTCAGTAAATATTTTTTTTCCACTCATAACTTGGAGTTTGACTCGCAACTCAAAACAAAAAATTGACCGGGCGACAGCTCATAACTCGGAAAACTTTTAAGTTGGGGCACTTGAAAGTCAAGGTACCACTGTATATAATAGTGTAAACATGTTAACAGGCTTTTATATGCATTTGAAAATGAAAGTGAAAATGTTTCAATTTACAGCAATTTTTGCTTTACAGCAGTAGTGTGGAACCTAACCTGCTGTATATGTGGAACCTAACCTGCTGTATAAGCAGGACACTTCCGTGTATTAAATTCAAAGTTCAAAGTTTATTCTCTATAAAGATTACAATGTTGAATTTACAGAATTTGGTTGTTGTGTGGTTTACATGTAGTTAAATAATGATTACAGAGTGTACCACTAGAACGCCTAGCATGGCTAGGCATTTCGGGCAGACTTAGTTTAATTCTTTATTTTAAAATATTACAAATTATGAGGTAAGTTGGTATTATGGCTAAGTGACTAAATACTAATTTGTGAGTTTAGCAATGTGAATGCTTTTGTTTTGGCACAGTACATAGTTTCAGTATTGGAGTATCATAGGATTCATTATTTTAAGACTGAGATTAATATTTCTGTTTATGGTCAAATGGGTGAGTGAGTGTAAGTGTGAACCACCAGGTGGTATTCGTGTAGTTAGTTGATGGGGTTTATCAGGGAGATAAGATGTTTTCTAATGGTAGTTTTGAAGGTGATGAATGTGTCTGCAGTTCTAGAGTTCTCAGGTAGGGTGTTCCAGATTTTAGGGCCTTTGACATACATTGAATTTTTGTAAAGGTTTAGTCAGACTTGGGGAATGTCGTAGAGATGTTTGTGTCTGGTGTTATGCCTGTGGGTTCTGTCACAACTATCAAGAAAGCATTTTAGGTCAAGGTTGATATTGGAGTTTAAGGTCCTGTAGATGTAGATTGCACAGTAGTAAGTGTGGATGTACTGAACAGGGAGTAAGTTTAGGTCTATGAAGAGTGGGGGGGTGTGTTGCCAGGGATGGGATTTAGTGATTATTCTTACTGCAGCTTTTTGTTGGGTTATTATTGGCTTTAGGTGTGTTGCTGCAGTTGATCCCCAAGCACAAATAGCATAGGTGAGGTATGGATAAATAAGTGAGTGGTATAGTGTGAGAAGGACAAGGATGAAGCTAGGTATACGAGTTGAAAGAATGATAGACAAGAACAGGGATATTATAGGATGAAATAATTGTTCAGCATAATAAATTGGTGTTAGGATCACATTAAGGAAAGGAAGTGATTTTTAAATAGTAATGAATTATGACTTATAAATTTGAGGGAATGGAGACAAATGGTTTTCAGAGTTTGACATGCTGTTTGAGTGTGAGCAAGGTAACATTAATAAAGGGGTTAAGGAAAACTGGTTAGCCTGATTTGATTCCTGGAGACAGTGCTTTCATTCTGAAGGAGGGACAAGGATGTTTCACTTCAGAGGTTCATTTAAAGTGTTATCTCCACACACTTCTGGCTAGACAGCTATTAAATGAGTGATGAAGTTGTTTCCCTATTTTGAATCACTGCACCATGTTGGGAGATAGTTTGTGAGTTAAATAAAAAACATCTACTCCCCAGGGTCTGTATAACCCGTGTAAATTTAGTGCTTCCCAATTATTATAATAATCACCACCCATTCTTCAGGTCTTGTATGACCCTGTGAATTTCGTGCTTCCCAACGATTATAACCACCTTCTATTCCTCGTGCACTGGATGACCCCTACCTGTTCAGTAAGAAATAATGCATGACATGGCATCATTGGTTGCTTCAGAATGTACTCTCCTGTTTCAGGTATGGGCTTTAAAGAAGATGCCATCATTCCTGCTGAAGACCATGTATATGAAGATTAAAAAGCCTTCTCAAAAGAAACACAGCTGAAAATTCTAAAAATTGAGGTGCAGATTTCCTAGTACAGTATTTACAGCTATATAGAAAATTATTTTATTTGGGTTCCTAACCCTTGCCCAGCATGCCATCCACAACAGTTGACTGATACCCAGGTACAGTGGAAACTAAGTTTTCATCTTTAACCCGTAAACGGTCCAAACGTATACAGGTACCATCCGACTTATGACCAAGCTTGGTTCCGACCAACTGGTTGTAAGTCAAAATGGACGTAAGTCGAACCCTTGAAAATTGCCGACATACTGGGTGAGGCATAATGTCTAACCTTTCCTATATAAGCTACCTACATAATACTGTAATGTAATATACAATCATTATTTCATTCTTTTTACCATAATTTACTTCTGTTGTTATATTTTAATTATTTATGTACTGTATATAATGTATACAGGTCTCCCTCAACATTCACGTTTTCAACTTTCACGGGCTTCACACATTCGCGAATTCCCAACCGCCAAATTCCCAGCCGCCAAATCATATTTAAGTTTCCCGCCACCTGCGAGTCCCTACTACCCTCCCTCCGACCCCCGCAACTGGCAGCCAGCCCTCCCACCACTCAATGTGGTGAGTGTTTTGTTTGTTCATTGTTTGCTATTAAACTACAGTATAAATAATGTAAACCCATTCATGACTGCATATTGGAATGGCTATTCGGACAGGTATTAGACGGTAACATCATGTGTTTACTCTTGAACACTGCAAAAAATTAAACATTTCTGCTTCAGCTAATAGTAACAATAGTAATAATAATAATAATAATAATAATAAATATGATATAATTGAAGAAGGAAATTGTACAAAAATACGAGGGAGTGGTTGACACATCGTCAGTGTGACTTTGTTTATGCTGGAGTGAACATTAGTCTCCCTGCTCTTCCAAACATTTCACAATAATTCAGCGGTTGAGGCAGTGGTATTTAATAACATAACATGTACTATTATTAATAACATATATTATTAATAACATGTATTATTATTAACATGTATGTATTTAATAACATATGTTATAAATAATAATAGTACATATTATTAATAACATGTATTATTATTAACATGTATGTTATTAAATACCATTGCCTCAATCACTGCCTCTACCACTCCAGTCACACTCAATCTACAAGCACCAAACACAATGAATTATTGTGAAATGTTTGGAAGAGCAGGGAGACTAATGTTCACTCCAGCATAAACAAAGTCACACTGATGATGTGTCAACCACTCCCTCGTATTTTTGTACAATTTCCTTCTTCAATTATATCGTATTTATTATTATTATTATTATTTATTTATTATATTATTATTATTATTATTATTATTATTATTATATTTTACTATTGTTATTATTAGTAATAGCAGAAATGTTCGATTCTTTGCTGTGTTCAAGAGTAAACACATGATGTCACCGTCTAATACCTTTCCTAATAGCAATTCCAATATGCAGTCATGAATGGGTTTACATTATTTATTCTGTAGTTTAATAGCAAATAATGAACAAACAAAACACTCACCACACTGAGTGGTGGGAGGGCTGGCTGCCAGTTGCGGGGGTCGGAGGGAGGGTAGTAGGGACTCGCAGTGGTGGAGTCTGTGGTATTTAATAACATACATGTTATTAAATAACATACGTTATTAAAGCATAACATATATATATTTAGTACAATTTATGACGTTTTCATGTATTTTATGATTATTCATGGTTCAACAAGTTAAGGAAGCAGTATTGTAATATATTTCCCTACAATATATTGGGGCACCAAACATTTACGGTTTTTCAACATTCGCAAGGCTCTTGATTCCCTAACCCTCGCGAATGTTGAGGGAGACCTGTACATGGTAGCGATCTGTATTGTAAATTTTACATCGCATACAGTATCATATGTTGCTGTTATCTTTATGTATTGTCGACACAGTGGAATGGGAGAATACCACTGGTAGTGTCATCCTGCCAGTATGTAGTATAACCTATACCCTAAGTAAAGAGAAACAACTCTGGAACATATGTAATACGTATGTATCCAGGTGGGTGGTTGGCTGTCCGAATGTGGCTGTCTCTCTGTACAGTGGTCCCTCGTTTTTCGTAATTAATCCGTTCCTGGAGCCGTTACTATAAACGAAATTTACGATTTGCGAATCAATTTTCCCCATAAGAAATAATGTAAATACAATTAATCCGTTCCTGACACCCAGAAGTATTAAAACAAAAAAATTTTTTACATGAAATATACATATAGTACATAAACAATACAATGGGAAATGATGAATGAAACATTAACAGCATAACACTTACCTTTATTGGAGATTCTTCTTAGTGTATGGGAGACTGGAGGAGGAGATTGGATTGTTTACAGTTTGGAAGGGGAATCCCCTTCCAGCAACACCTCAGGTACCAATTGCTTCTCTGGGGTTGCTTCTCTTCTCTGTTTCTTAATGACACTAGGACCACCTTGAGAGTCACTCTAGTCCTGTCTCGCAAAGTAACTGTGGAGAGAGCTCTGTTTCTGGCATCTCTTTAACACTTCCCTAAAATGGCCCAAGACTTTGTCACTGTACATATTTCTCACCTTCTTTACCATAGGCTTGGCACTAGGAGCTTTCTTTGGAGCCATGGTAGCTTATTTAGTAATTGCAAGCACTAAAATGAGTGGAATATTATGAAATATTTCGTAGGAGCACTTGAGGGGACCTTCACTCACTGGTAAACAATGCCAGACTGGCTGGGTAGGGAGGCTGCCCCGGCTCACACCATGCGTACGCGTCCCGGACGAACTATTCGCAAGTCAACCTATGAAAAGCGAGTCCATGTTTAGACGAAAATACCCCTATGATTGGCGAAATTTACGATTGCCGAGAACTACAAAAAGCGAGGGACCACTGTATCTCTCTCTCTCACAGGTACACGTAAGTGAAGTTATTGTACATAGTATAAGTTACCTAGGATAACCCAAAATATCCAGACAAAGTGCTATACAGTGGATCTATGCTCCAGTGCCCTAAATTAATAATACTAATAATTATTATTATTATTATTACAATAATACATATGTACTAATATTAATAATAATAATATTGTTGAAGTATAATATAATAATCGTGTCTACTCATTACTTACCTTAAAATATCTGTAGTCTTAATGTAGAGTGAGAGGTGAGTAAACAAGAGAGAGAATGAGAGTGTAAAATGTTCATGAGTTATGTAAACAAACGTTGTTGTTGTTACCAGCCCGGACACGAATGGTTTTTGTTCACTCTGTTAGGCCAACCAGAAAAACATCTCATATTTGTTAATTTATATGTTTGTATGTTATGTAGCATGTTTATTATATAATTTTGAAAAAAAAATCATAGATGAATTAAGCAAAATGTCTATACGTATTAACGTTTTATACACATTTAATGCGCCTCAGTGATTATTATTGAATTATCATTATTAATATGGCATCTTCAAGACAAATTACACTCTTAATGAGTGGCTCTGAAACAGACAAGCAGACAGAAAGAGAGACACACAGAGGTAGATATAAAGACAGACACACAGGTAGACAGACACACACACACAGGTAGACAGAAAGACACACACACAGATATACAGGCAGACAGATACAGGTTTATGTGTAACAATGAACACAAATAGAGAGTTTGAGAGTAAGAGCCTTTCTTGCCACAATCTCCAGTGCAAGATTCAGACTTCATCTTAGGGGCCATGGTGAAATTTACTGTCCAGTTAGTACAGTTAATACAGTATGAATAACAAAAAAAAGGCACAATACCGTGACTGGAACGATACACAAATAACCCGCACATAGAAGAGAGGAGCTTACGACGACGTTTTGGTCTGACTTGGACCATTTACAAAGTCACAATAACAAGAAGTAGAGCAAGAAGGGGTATATATAGGCAGGAAGAGGTAGTGGTGGTGGTGGTAGTAGTAGTAGTAGTAGTAATAGTAGTAGTAGTAATGGTAGTAGTAGTAGTAGTAGGTGGTAGTAGTAGTAGTAGGTGGTAGTAGTAGTAGTAGTAGGTGGTAGTAGTAGTAGTAGTAGTGGTGGTAGTAGTAGTAGTAGTAGTAGGTGGTGGTAGTAGTAGTAGTAGTAGGTGGTGGTAGTAGTAGTAGGTGGTAGTAGTAGTAGGTGGTAGTAGTAGTAGTAGTAGGTGGTAGTAGTAGTAGTAGGTGGTAGTAGTAGTAGTAGGTGGTGGTAGTAGTAGTAGGTGGTGGTAGTAGTAGTAGGTGGTGGTAGTAGTAGTAGTAGTAGTAGGTGGTGGTAGTAGTAGTAGGTGGTGGTAGTAGTAGTAGTGGCAGTGGTAGTAGTGGGGAATAAGGAGGACAAGCCAGTCAAATACAAAGAAAGGGGAGCACTGCAAGGGAGCTAGGTGCTCACAGAGGGAGAGCAAGTACACAGAGGTGGGGAAGAAGGGGAAGTGATGAAATAAATAGTGAAGGAACAGAAACACGAGATAGAAGAAAGACAACCCAGAGGAGAAAAAGGGAAAGAGGAAAGGGGAAGAGGGAGAAGAAAAAAGGAGGAATCAGGTTAAGTCACGGGTGTTCTGAAGTTTGGAGCAGTAAACATACAGCATCATACAGTATACAGCATGATGCTGCTGATAGGACAGGGTTACTCAAACTGATGCTGCCTGCATGACGCATTGCTGCCGCAAGTATTGTCAAATATTGTACAGCGGTGTGCATCAGCCGGCCCAGTCCAGCTGCTAGATGCACGGTTGGAAGTCGAGCAGGTCGTAAGTCTGATGGTAGGTGTATATACGTTCACTATCCCAGTGCCCCGAATATTTTGAAAAATAAAAAAATAATTTTTTTTATTGAGAAAAAGAGCACATTTTTATAAGTGTTATAGGATAAAAAAAAATTTAGGGTCAGTACTTACCGAGATATGAGGCCGCAAAGTTGGCACTTGGAGATCACCTGGCGGCAGCATGGAGTGCTGCCGCTTGCAGAAGTGTTTCTGATATATCTTTTTTTTTCCATTTTTCATATTATTTTGTATAATTTTTATGTTCTGATAATTACAATTTATAGTAGTTCTTGTCATTTCATAATTAATCTTTGTTCTGGCACTAGTACTAGGTACTGAAATTGTACTCACATTGTCACAAACACATTGACAGGTGGACATTTACACCTGCCTTGGTCATTTACTGTTGTCTTTGAATATATACAAAGTATTTATAGGTCCCAGCAATGTTTTGGATATGTGGAAGTATATAATAATGAGGAGGAGGAGAAGAAGAAGAAGAAGAATACGTAATAATAAAATAATAAGCTCCCTTGAAGCATGAAAAACAAAGTCCACCCCTGACAGTGACGTGATAAGATGAGATAACATTTGATAAGAGTTGACGTTTGATGAGCATTCACAAGGGTGCAGTGATAAGACTTGGTAAGAAAAGATTAGGGCCTGCTTTGTTTTTGCTGGTACACAAACATGTCTGTCTATCCATCTAGCTCTGTCTCAGAGAGCCACAAGACTGAGTCATCACGTTTACTTGCATCTTCAAGCAGAGTATAGCACTTTGTTTGGATATTTTGGGTTATCCTAGGTAATTTACACTATGTATACTTGTATTTGTGTACCTGTGAGACAGAGATAGACAGACAGATAGAA